ATTATTTATTATATTTTAAACTTCTCTATTTTTCTCTCTTTCTCTCTTAAAGTATTCATATATTCTATTAATAATTAATTTACGTAACATTAAAGTTAATTCTATTGAAAATACTAAAAAAAAGATAACTCTAATCTTATATAAAGTTATAGTTGCCACAGTAAAATTTTAAAAAAAAAAAAAAAAAAAAAGAACTCTTCATAGATTCTTTTCCATATGATACCCAAATATGCAGATACTGATGTTTTGACTCCAACACGCCTTTCATTCGCAGATTTAGTCGTCTTGGATAGTTCCCAAGTCTTTCATTTTTGTTCGTGTCCATGATTATCGAGGAAGAGATAACTTATTCCAAGAAAATTCATCATTATTTTCAGCATTTTAATTTTTTTTAATTTAATAGTCAAAGATAAGATATTTATCGAAACTTTTAAAATGAAAGAAAAAGGAAAGATAATCATGATTGGATGAATAATAAATTGTTTAAAATTATTTCTAAAGTGACTGAAAGATACGTTGTCCTTGATCCCTATGATCCAACTTATAAGCCTCCAGGAATGAAAATACGAATGTGGCTTCAAGTTACAATAAGATTCAGTTCTCCCCGTATAATGCACTTTGAAATTTGTATTAATGACACTGAGAGGACATATACATTAAAGTTATTACTCAAAGCTCCGCCACAGGATGATGGGATTGAGACTTTGAGAGGTTGGAGATTGAAGCCTTCAATCTTATGAATTATGATTGTGTATTGGACCAATTATTTGTGGGCTGTCTTCATTGCTCTACGTGTCTTGGAAATTTCTACAACACCTTTAATATTGACCAGTTATTTTACCCGTATTTTTATTTAGCATGTGAAAATACAATTCTACATGTCTAATTAGTATTCTAGTATGTAAAATGCATATAATATATTTTTATTTTATATAAATAAGTTCTATAACCATCACATGATTAAATTTCTACTTTACTACTATAACCATAACTCATGATCACATGATTAATTTGTACAATCTTATCATTTTATTTAAATAATTTTTTATATTTATTTTATTTCTAATTTATTTTATGTGTCCACATGATTATTCTCATGAAATTTCTATTTTTATGATAATTATGTTCCAAAAAAAATTGTGTTATTATCTTATATTTAATCATTAGAAAGATATTAAGTTTATCAATTCAAATTTTCAATTATTATATTTAGTATAATAGTTATATGATTTACTTTTTTACTAGTTACATTTATTCTATTTAAAACTTATTATCACAATTAGTTCTTTAAAAAAAATAACGTTCAAATTTATTCAACATAAATAAAAATAAAAGATGATAGATAAGTTTTTGAAATTGACTAATAGAATATAATGTATAAAATAAAAGTGATAGCAAACAATATTCATTAATTATTGGTCGTTACATATTATCCAATTATCGATTTTGCTTATTTTTTTCAAAGTATGTTTATTAATGAAGCTCACACGTATAAAAATTTATTAAAATTTGATTTTTGACAATTATTTAACATTACAAACTCAACTTTAAAGATGCGTAACTTGAATTGGTCATACATTGACAAGTATGACTTGAGTAGAATCAGTTGTACATCGACTACCATGCGAAGGTTAAAAAATGAAGGCACATGACTTGAATTAGTCATACATCAACAAGCGTGACATAAGTAACATCAGTTATACACCGACTTTTGTGTGAAGACAAAAAAAATGAAGACTTGTGATTTGAATCGTTTGTATAACAAGCGTGACATTAGTAAAATCGATCGCACACCAACTACCATGCAAAGATAAAAATGCAAAGACTTGTGACTTGTCATAGATTGACAGGCATGACGTAAGTAAAATTGATTATACATCAACTATCATGTAAAGATAAAAATGCAAAGACTCTTGACTTAAATCGGTCATGCACTGATAAACGCAATGTGAATAGAATTGGTTGTACACTGACTATCACATGAAGACTAAAATGTGAAGACACGTGACTTAAATCTATCGTACACCGATAAGTGCAACATGAGTAGAATTGTTCGTAAAATTGGTACACTAACAAGCATGATGTGAGTAAAATTAGTCATACACCAACTACCACACGATGATAAAAATGCGAAGAATCATGAATTGAATCGATTGTACATCGACAAGTGTGACACAAGTATAATCGATCATATATTGACTGTTATGCGAAGATAAAAATGCAAAAACTCGTGACTTGAATTGATCATACACTAACAAACGTGACGTGAGTAGAATCGATCATACGCCAACTACCATGCAAACATAAAAATGCCAATACATGTGACTTGAATTGGTTGTACACCAATAATTACAACATAAGTAGAATCGGTTGTACATTAACTATCACGCAAATATAAAAATGTGAAGACTCTTAACTTGAATCGGTTGTTCATATATAAGTGTGACGTGAGTAAAATTGGTTGTATAGAGATTACCACACAAAAACTAAAAAGGAAGACACGTGACTTAATTGTTTGTACACTGACTTCCATGTGAAGACATTGAAGACAAGGTACTACTGATATCATTTGAAAACACATACTACGGTTAATATGATATCGTTTATTTAGAGAATGCTTTGTCCTAACCTCTATGCCTTTTAGGCTTGGAGTTGTGGATAAGTGTATCTTCTTAGATATATTCTGACAAGATACTACTGATATCTTTATCTAGAGAGATTTTTGTCCTAACCCTTGCAACTTTCAGGTTCGAGGCTAATGGGTAAGTGTAACATCTTAAATATATTTTGATACAAATCTATTGAGTTATAAGAGATGAAGATAAATAATAAATTGTCTTATTCTTAAATTGGGTCGAATTCAAACCAATTAACCTTGTTGCCTAATAGGAAGTAGAAATTAGTTCGACTCTGGGTAATCTAGTTCATAATCTTATCTTTAATAATTAAGATTAGATACCAAGATATGATATTTAATGATAAGTAACTACCTTATCAAATCCCTAAATTTTCAAAGTTCATAAACCAATGCTAGTTAAATATAAAATCCTAATCCTAAAACAAGATGAGACATGTTACACTTTTGAATATTCTAACTTTTTAAAAAGCGGTTAGGTTAACCCTAATATATTTTTTACACCATAACATATATATATATATATATATA